GATCTCTGAATGCTAAACAAGTTATGGCACTTCTATGTCCTTTATACTCCACAAGATTGTCACCAGTTTCGAGGTTCCATAATCTCGCGATTCCGTCGGAAGTCGCTGTGATCAAGAATCTTGAGTCCGCGGAGAATGCGCAATCCCACACCCATGCAAGTCTGCCAGAATTTTTTGTCCCATCCTGGCTCAGCGTGACGCTATAATCAGCCGTTTTGAGCAAGCAAAACTTTCCGTCCGCCCCGCATGTAGCCAGCAATGTGCTATCGGGAGAGAACCGAACCTTTAGTCCGTAGGATGAATGCACCTTTGTAACTTGCTATATTAGGCAACATAGAAAAGGAATTAGATTAGATAAAAGCATTTGCAAATGTCAATAAATCTAATGGTCAAACAGGTGTTATGCAATTTATCTAATTCACCTGGCCTTTGACGACCCTGATCTCTTTACCCTTGGGTGCGGACAGAACCGATATATCGCAGTCTAATGAAATTAAGCTAAATGTTTCTACAATTATGTGGGTAGGCCTCGGGACCCATATGAACTTCATTTAGCTCTAATTAGCAGCCATTTTCGTCAGGGGTGGGCTGCAATTTCGACCTCACCACCATCTACACTACACGGCACAATTGCACTACTCTGTCACAGCAGTCAATATTTCATGGGAGGCGTGTATCTAAGTGGAACTTAACAGCAGCATGAGGCACACTTACATAATTGCGGGAAAATTCGGCCGTCCGTCCAACAACTTGCAGCACATATGATGGATAGACATCTTAATGAAGGCATACTTAAAGATTTGGAACATAAAATATGGATTAAAATTTTTCTGAACTATTATCAACTGAGAGATTCTAGTAAGCCAGACAAATGTAATCATTTTTTAACTTTAAATCGGTTGAAATATTTATTAGGCTTTAGGCAAGTTAGAACAGGCAAAGCAGTAAAACCTTTCCATGCAGTTCCGAAGCAACACTACACGGTAAAGACCATGTAATAAGCTGACCAGCCGAGTTGACTGCAGCGAGTGATGTACATTCCAGATTAAAAGCCAGGCTGTGGATTGGGCCACCATTGATCTCAGTGGCTACTGTCCTTACTTTTGAGTTTCTCGTGTCCCATATATGCACTTCTCCTTTGTCTGTGCCGAGGATCACTTCATTTCCATTTCTATGGAGTGCCATCGTATTGATGCTAGAAGAAAACTAAAACATTAACGTATTTTTATCAATAAATTAAGGTGAATGAATGGTCGTAACAAATACATTAATTTGCTTCCCCAATAATCAGTCAGTCATATAAAAATTGTTTTATAAGCAGCCAGTATAATGATCCAACGAGCGTCATAGGCTTTAGTTGTGTCTGTTGATGGGCAGTAAGACAAACTTTTCAAACATATACTCAGAAAACAAAAAGATATCTTTTGCGATAAGGCCGATCTAAAGGATTGCTGCAACTCTTCAGATAAAAAGTCAATGATCTACCAACCTATATAATTTTCTATTTTTACAACACAATATAGTAAAAAGCTAGTAAATCCCGGCACGTCAGGATTGAGATAGAGTTCCCTAATTACATCGATTGGGAGCAAATTAGAAATTGTGCGAAAACGATCAGGCTCTAACTAGTGCTTTATTTAATATAGGAGGCAACGATAATGCTGAGTAAAGCTAATATAAAAACCAATCCTATCCATTATGCCCACATATTTGCTAAATGATAAAAAGTGAAAAAAACCTGTGAAGCAGAGGATTGATAGCCATATAAACACCTTTCAGTATTTTAAGGATAGCTCGGTTATTGACTGTTTAAAATTGATGCTAAAATCCGCGCCCTAGTTACAATTATCTTGCAAAGAATAACAGAATTAACAGGTAAAGGTTGTCATGGCATATACGGAAAAATGGATATGATAAACATCTGAATAACATAAGGGTAATGGGAAAAGGTCTGTTAAGAGTAGAGTATTGATGCAAAGTGAAGTTAATTCTAACATTGTTAGGAGTCAAGCATTAGTTATCAGACTTCCTATTAAATACTAAAAGATTATTATTGAGCTTAGCGAGATAAAACTAGCAAGAATATAGCCATATGGCATGAGACATAATGGCAAAATAGGGCTATCTCTTTCAAGACGAAAACTTTGAATATTCGATGGTAGTTCGAATCTAGGATATATTCAAATTTCTACACCATGTAATCGTTAAGACATTACAAACTAATCAATAAACAGAATATGAACTCAAGTTGATAAATACAAATTCAAAATATAAGCCATAAGCGTAATTCCATGAAAAATTCATGAACCATATCCTGAAGCCCCCAAGAACGATTCAGGAGATAGTGTATAGAATGAGACATGAATCTAGGCTTCAAAGTTCTTTAAAATAAATATGCTCCGAATATGCCTTAAAAATTGTTCCATCAAGGCAACGGAGTATAGAACAATTTGGAGGGTGCAATTTTTAATTATGTATTGCAACCAGATTAAAAATGACATGAGCAATCATATCGGTGCAAGCCTCAAAGGTGATTTTTCTTAATTATAGAAGTGCATGTTC